CGTTGATGGTTTCACAAGTAAGTAACTTCGGTTTATTAATGCACGGTCGTGGTTAATAAACTTAAGAGGGATTAATTTTGTTGGTTAAACCGAAACCGCTTGTGTTAAGGTTATCAATCTCAATTGATTTCATCAAGGAGTTAGAAAGATTAAATGCTACTATTAAATCGGTATAAGGCGTTGTTCTATATTTGATTAATAGTAAGGGTTATTAATGAACGGTCGTTGTTAATAACTACCCTCGATGAAGTGGATATACTCCCCGATTGAGTATTCGAGAGGGAATAAGTTATAGATATAACAATGATCGACTAAAATATATCAACAAGTGGAAAGTAGCAATGCCAAGTCCTTTTTATCTTTGAATTAAACACATATAGGTTGTTCATCTTAGTTCCAAATTAAAATTAAATCACTCAATCCAAATCCCCCCTTTTATTTACTAAGTATCATAAAAAGAAAGTTATTCCTTTCCCTGTGGATACGAACTCTACTACGCTATACTACGCATAAGTGTTTAGTATTGAAATTATTTTGACGCACCGTGACAAAGTGCTCGTCAAATTTGGCGCCGTTGCCGGGGAAAGGCAATTAATTTTTCTTTTTATTTTATTTCAAAGAAAAAAAAAATAATAATATATAAAGATTTCTATTTTTGCTGAGCTTTGTTTGAGTATATGGTTAAACACCGATCTATAAACCAAATCACCTACCAAACAAAGCCCGAAACAGAACAAGCCTTCGAGAGGTTCAGGAATCTATTTCCGAATACTTCTTCGGAGGAATCATCAAGTGCTAGTTCTCATTCTAGCGAATCCGAAGAGTCCTTTCACATGGCTCTTGAAACAAGAACGTTGAGGGAGCTCACGGCTCCGAATCTAAATCAACAACCCTTATGTATCACTTTTCCAACTCTTGATACGGGGGTCACATTCGAGCTAAAATCTGGGCTCATTCATCTACTTCCCTCTTTCCATGGCCTACGAGGGGAAGATCCAAATAAACATTTGTCGGAGTTCCATATTGTGTGCACAAGCATGTGCCCCAATGGCGTGTCCGAGGAGCAAATCAAGCTGAGAGCCTTCCCATTCTCTCTCAAAGACACCGCCAAAGATTGGTTATTTTATCTTCCCTCGGGAAGCATCAACACATGGGCTCAAATGAAAAAGAGCTTCCTTGACAGGTACTATCCCGCATCTATCTCTTCAAGTCTCAAGAAGCAAATCAGCAACATTGAGCAAGCAGATAATGAGACCTTGTATGAATATTGGGAGCGCTTTAAAAAATTATGTGCTAGTTGCCCATATCATGGATATTCAGAACAAGATCTCATTCTCTACTTCTATGATGGACTTGTTGATCAAGATAGACGCATGGTGAATGCGGCATGCGGAGGGGGTATTGTTAACAAAACCCCTTCTCAAGCAAGAGACATCATTTCGGAGTTGGCCAAAAACTCGAGACACTACGACGGAAGGTCATCATCAAAACGAGTCATGGCAGCGGAATCCAACAACTCGTTGGAGAGTCAAGTAGCCGGCTTGACTTCTTTGGTTAAAGATTTCCTTTTAAAACCAAAAACCCAAGAAGTCAAGGTCTGCGGCATCTGTTCAACGCAAGGGCATCCCACAGATTCTTGCCCGACACTACAAGAAGATAACTCCGAGCAAGTCAATGCTTCGGGGTTCCAAGGTCAAAGGAGGTACGATCCTCAAGGAAACACTTACAACCCGGGATGGAGGGATCATCCGAATTTAAGGTACGGAAATTCTCAAACAAATCCTCCCCCTCAACAATACAAACCCCAAGGCCAAACATCGAACTCGAGTATGTCCACCGAAGACATGATTCGAGCGCTGGCCGTTAATATGGGAACAATGCAGCAAAGCATGGGGCAATTCCAACAAACAATGATGCAATTCCAACATGAAACCAAGTCGAGCATTCAAAATTTGGAAACTCAAGTTAGCCAAATTTCAAATGCCGTAAGTCAACTTGAAGCAAAAGATTCGGGTAGGCTCCCCTCCCAAACTGAGCAAAACCCGAGACAACATGTCAATGCAATATGTTGAGGAATGGTAAAGAATTGCAACCACGGGAAGTTGAGGAGGAGAAGCAAGAGGTTGATCTTGAAGAAGGCTTCCAACAAGAAGAGGAGAAGCCAACGAAGACTAAATTCCCTCCACTGTCATCATATGAACCACTCCCTCCATTCCCTGAGGCATTGAAAGACACGAGGAAGCTGAAGAATGATCGGGACATCTACGAAACATTCGTCAATTCTGAGGTAAACATCCCACTCTTCAAACTGATCAAAAGTGTTCCCCGTTATGCAATGTTCTTAAAGGAACTATGCACAATGAAAAAGAAAAATAAACTGGAAGGGAAACAAAAAGTTGAAGTGAGTGAACGTGTCTCGGCCATTTTTAAAAAGAAACTCCCTGAGAAATGTAGCGATCCAGGCATGTTCACTATTCCTTGCAAAATAGGGGATACCTTATTTTCTAAGGCCTTGTTGGATTTAGGAGCGTCAATAAATGTCATTCCTTATTCCTTATATAAATCCTTACAACTCGGCCCACTACATCAAACCGGTGTAGTGATTCAACTAGCGGATCGGTCTAATACTTACCCGAAGGGTGTAGTAGAAGATGTGCTAGTAGAAGTAGAAAATTTGATTTTCCCTGTTGATTTTTATGTTTTGGAAATGGGAGATGATAACCAAACTACACCCATCCTCTTGGGTAGGCCTTTTCTGAAAACCGCAAAAACAAAAATAGACGTGGCTAATGGTTCATTAACTTTAGAGTTTGATGATCAAAAGGTAGAATTCAACATTTTTGATTCTACGAAAAAACAAATTCAAGACCAATCTCTTTGTGCTCTAAATGTTTGTGAACCACAAACCCCGAATATTTTTGTTGAGAAGAAAAATGAGAACATCAAACTTTTTGAAAAAGAAGAATTATTCAAATTTTCAAAAAGAGAATGGATCCCACCTGGGATTGAAGTGATACCAGAAAAGAAATCCCGGCCTTACTGGACAAGGCCGAAAAGGAAAAATGAAACAAGGGATGTTCACGATCCCACGTAAAAATAAAAAAATAAAATAAAAATAACGTCGTGCCGCGACATTAAATCAAGCGCTTCTTGGGAGGCAACCCAAGCCTTTATTTTTAATTTCATTTTTTTTCCTCAGCTCGTGTGTTTTAATTTTTTCAAAAAAAAAAAAAAAAAAAAGAGAGCCTGGGCTGAAACCCGGCCGGGTATCCCAAACAGCCCGGTCGGGTTTATTCATAAAAAGGGGATACCCGGGCAACACGGCCACCGGGTTGCTAACAAAAAAAAGAAAAAAAAACATATACCCGACCGGGTATATCCAAAACCCGACCGGGTATGCACATATTTTTGGCTCTGAACACACTGGAATGCATACCCATTCGGGTATTTCTGAAACTCGGGCGGGTACGAATTTATTTTTTTAAAAATCAGAAAGACCCGACCGGGTACCCTAAAGCACCCGACCGGGTACTCATTCCAGTAGGTACTGGATAACAGAACAAGTTACACCCGACCGGGTACACCACTTCACCCGGCCGGGCTACCGAACTCAAAACTTTCTGCCTGGGCAAATAGCGTTCACCCGACCGGGTAAACTACCCCACCCGACCGGGGTGAACGGGAAATCAGCACTTTACCAGGTCGGGCTCACCCCTTCCCCTCCCATTTCTTCTTCCTCCCAACTCCAAAATTCCCAAAATCCACCATTTTCAAACACCCAAACCTTCGAATCTCCCCATTTCCTTAACCAAATCCACTAAAAACCCCCATTTTCTTCATCTCCTCACTTCCCTCTCCATCTCTATACCCATAAAATCCCCCAAAACCTTCCCAATCAACAAAACCCAAAAAACCCTACCCAAAATTCGAAATCCCCATTCTTGGACATTCAAGGTCCGAAATCTCCCCAAAAATCCTCAACCAATACCATATTCTTACTCTCCTCACCATCCTCTTCAACCCCATACCCATAAAAGCCATCCAAATCCCACCCTACCCCAAAGTCCGAAAATCACAAAAAAAATCCAATTTTGTTTTTTGTTTTTTGAACTTCAATGGCTCCAAGAAAGTCAAAAGCCTCTTCCTCAAGGGGAAATCGAGCTATCCCACCGGTAGCGGGCTATGAGAGCGTGGAGTTTGCTACGGAGGCTCAACGGAACAACTTCATCAACCAATCAAAAAGGGAGGTAAAGTAATCCCGTTTCATGTGCTTAACTACTTTAGCGCTACTATGGATTGATACTGTGATGCGTGACATATTTGCAAGAATTGGAATATCTAGAATGTTTGAAATGCAATATGTGACATATCCTCATTTGGTGTATGAAATTTTTAGCTCATTTGCGTATACCAAAGATGTGAATGATCATGCAAATGACATAATCACCTTTCATTTACTAAATGAGGATCGTTCATTAACCAAACGAGAATTTGTTCAACATTTTGGTCTCCCATGGTTTGATGAAGCACGTACATATGATTCTCTTGTGGGGTATGAATTGTGGAGAAGAATGACCGGCAAGAATGTGGTTGATCTATCTAAATTAAGTGTGAATCGTGTGCAACATCCGGTCTTCCGACTATTCTTAAAATTTTGCTCAAATTATTTCCTCGGAAGACCGAATAATCATCACACACGTATCTGGGATGTGTGTGTTCTAGCACAAGCTGTTTTGCCGGGTCCAAATCAAGTTGATGTTGCCACCATCTTATGGACTCATTTCAACAACGTGGCAACATCAACAGGACCAATTGCTATGGGGGGCCTCATCACACATCTAGCCACTTTATATGGTTTTATAGACCCCGGCCCCATCACCTCAAGACACCTTATTTGCACTGAATGACTTTTACAAAAGACGCTAGACTTGGTCCCCTCGCACACAACACCAACTGGGGCACACATCTATAATTGGCGCATTCTCCCACGCACTTCCATCTACCTCCAGATACCCTCAGCCGACGTCCCCCTGGATATCATCAATCACCAAATCGGGGATGGTCATCACTATTGTCTTCCCGGGGCAATCCCGGATCATTATGAAGAACCCATCCACGATGAAGATGATGAAGAACCCCCAATCATACCCGAACAACCACAACCTCAAGCATTCCACTACACACCTTTCGAGCAACAAATGCTCGATAACATGGTCACGCTCAACCAGAGCATTGTGAGGATGGAAGAGCAGCGGCAAGCAGACTGGCGTAGGTATGAGGAAGACAGACGGAGATCTGAGGAGGATCAGCGTAGAACCTTTGGTCCGATATACTCATATATAGCACACCAGGGCTCCTTTTCCTCTATGACCACTCCACCTCCTGCACCATCATGGTATGACCCCTCTCAGTGGGATTTCTTTGGAGGATCGAGCTCCGGTGGTGGAGGCTACGATGGTGGTTATGGCGGGGATCACATGGATGAGGACGGACACCAAGGTGGAGGTCTAGGCGGACACTAGGGACAGTGTCAGATCCTAAGTGTGGGGGTGAAGAGATCTTCCCGGTATGTTCACATTCACACTCTTTATTCTTGTTATCTCAAAAAAAAAACGAAAGCTTGTTGAGTTGAAAACCCACAAAGGGCAGCTTAAGCAAAAATAAAGCAAAAATAAGAGTGAGTTTGTGAGATTTGAGAAAAATTAAAAAAAAAATAAAAATAAAAATAAAAAAATGTGGGAAGCTGGGTTGAAAACCTGAAAGGGCACCTAGGCAAAATGAGAGAATGAGAAAAAGTTATTTCTTTTGATTTTGCAGGATCCTGAGGGCGATTACTATTGAGAGTTCGGATTAAAATTGAAGACCCATCTTTACTCTTTTTGTTTTGGAGATACTTTATGTATTTGTTATAAACACTTGTGGATGTTGGTGCTGCAACTCTTGTCATTTAGGACTTCTTGGATTTGATTTGATTTACTCGAGACGAGTAAAGGTTTAAGTGTGGGGGTGTTTGATGCACACTAATTAGTAGTGCATAATTACATGTTTTTATGTTTGATTTATGTTAATTGTTTGACGTTTTATTTAGTTTGTAAACATTTATGTGATTTCAGTTGTAATTGTATTTTAGTCTTTATTTGTTAGTTGTAAAGTTTAGTTAGGATTTGTGGTTTTGGAAAGGAAGACTTTGAAGTGAAGAAAAAGAAGATTTGGCTGCCCAGGAGCAAATACCCGACCGGGTATAATACTTGACCCGGTCGGGTAAGAAGTGAAAAACGAAAATGCAAAGAAAGTGCATGGCCCGGTCGGGCCCACTACCTCACCCGGTCGGGTGAGAAGTGACCGGGGACAACCCGGTGTGCAAAGATCACCCGAACGTGAAGAAAATCCAATTTTTGCACTCACCCGGTCGGGTCCCCTACCCCACCCGGTCGGGTCTGACTTGACCCGGACACTTTAACATGCTGAAGATCGCCAGAACGTGGAGGATATTTGATTTTGACATGCACCCGGTCGGGTGAGTACTTGACCCGGTCGGGTACCCGGCAAAAGGTGTTGAAAAACACCTATAAATAGCACACTTTTTCTTCACAAAAAATAATCCCTTCTTCCATACTCTTTAGCTTAGTTTAGAATAGCCTTTCTTTATATTTTTCTAGCTATGTTTAGCCTCCAAATGAGGAGCTAAACTTCCATTCTAGGTGTTGCTCTTGAAGTTTGTTGATTATTAAAGTTGTGAGTTATTTTCTTAAACTTCTTTCCTTGAATATTAATTAATAGTTCTTTCCTTAATACCATCTCTATATTAATGTTGGGGAGTGTTGCTAAGATGACAATTAGTTAACATCTCGACATTAGTTAGAATGGTATTTTCTTCCTCTATATTAATATTGAGGAGTGTTGCTAAGATGACAATTAGTTAACATCTTGATATTAATTATAGTAGGATTCATCTTCATTAATAATATTCTTCCTTGAATATTAATTAATTCCTACTCTTATTTCATATTAATATTTTGAACATTACTTAAAGGATCAACTAGTTTTGTTTCATATATTAATTATTACTAGAAACGATCAACGAACCGATGGTTAATCGTTGATGGTTTCACAAGTAAGTAACTTCGGTTTATTAATGCACGGTCGTGGTTAATAAACTTAAGAGGGATTAATTTTGTTGGTTAAACCGAAACCGCTTGTGTTAAGGTTATCAATCTCAATTGATTTCATCAAGGAGTTAGAAAGATTAAATGCTACTATTAAATCGGTATAAGGCGTTGTTCTATATTTGATTAATAGTAAGGGTTATTAATGAACGGTCGTTGTTAATAACTACCCTCGATGAAGTGGATATACTCCCCGATTGAGTATTCGAGAGGGAATAAGTTATAGATATAACAATGATCGACTAAAATATATCAACAAGTGGAAAGTAGCAATGCCAAGTCCTTTTTATCTTTGAATTAAACACATATAGGTTGTTCATCTTAGTTCCAAATTAAAATTAAATCACTCAATCCAAATCCTCCCTTTTATTTCCTAAGTATCATAAAAAGAAAATTATTCCTTTCCCTGTGGATACGAACTCTACTACGCTATACTACGTATAAGTGTTTAGTATTGAAATTATTTTGACGCACCGTGACAAAGTGCTCGTCAGTCTTTGTGAGGGATGATGCGGCTTAAATGATTGGCCACCAAGTTCTCCGCTCCTTTCTTGTTCTTAATCTCTACATCAAACTCACTCAATAGAAGGACCCATCGAATGAGTCTTGGTTTGGCTTCCTTCTTTGTCATAAGGAATTGGAGAGCGGCATGGTCGGTGTAAACAATAACTTTCGTTCGAAGAAGGTAGGAACGAAACTTTTCGAAAGCAAAGACTACCGCTAGCATTTCCTTCTCAGTGGTGGAGTAGTTCTTTTGAGCTTCATTGAGGGTTGAGGAGGCATAGTAGATGACATGAGAAGCTCTTCCGACCTTTTGGCCTAAAATAGCCCCTACCGCATAGTCACTTGCGTCGCACATGATCTCAAAAGGAAGAGACCAATCGGGAACTTGTATGATTGGGGCAGTCACCAATCTTGCTTTCAAAGTGTCAAAAGCCTCTTTGCATTCATCATTGAGGTCAAATTCAACCTCCTTTTGTAAAAGTTTGCATAGAGGAGATGAAATTTTTGAGAAGTCTTTCATGAATCTCCTATAGAAACCGGTGTGACCAAGGAAAGAGCAGATGTCCCGTACATTTGTGGGGTACGGGAGTGTTTGAATCACATCAATTTTAGCTTTGTCTACCTCGATCCCCTTTGATGAGATCACATGTCCAAGAACAATCCCTTGTTCCACCATAAAGTGGCATTTTTCAGAGTTTAGAACAAGATTGGATTCAATACAACTTTTTAGCACAAGAGTGAGATGATAGAGGCAAGAGTCAAAAGAGTCCCCATGGATTGTAAAATCATCCATAAAGACTTCCATGAATACCTCCACAAATTCGGAAAATATGCTCATCATGCACCTTTGAAAGGTGCCCGGTGCGTTGCATAATCCAAAGGGCATTCGTCGGTAGGCAAAAGTGCCAAATGGACATGTGAAGATTGTTTTCTCTTGGTCCTCCAGGGCTACTGGTATTTGGAAATACCCGGAGTAACCATCGAGAAAACAATAGAACTTGTGCCCTGCTAACCTCTCTAGCATTTGATCAATGAAAGGCAATTGACGAACACTTTGTCACGGTGCATCAAAATAAATTCAATACTAGCACTAATACGTAGTATAGCGTAGTAGAGTTCTGATCGGCTGAAACTTGCAAGTGTACAAGTGCCAATGTAGTAATAAATTCCGGTAAAAATACCGGGTCGAACACAAGGAAACGTTGTTTATATGATTCAAAAGTGGAAGCGGTTTAGTGAAAGAATTAAGAAAAGAGTAAAGCTTTTTGATTTTTTTAAGAGATAATAAAAGCAACCAAGGGTTCGGGATTACTCCTAAACGACTCCTAGTGATGAATATATGTTCTTTCGCCAATTCTTATGAGTGGAATGTCACTAAAGTATTCTAACTCCTGTTACGGCAGCGAGATTGTGATTAATTCTATGTGTGAATCCCGTCACGGTTCACATTCATCTAAAATTAACCCCATTGAAGATTAGAACATTATAAAAACCACCATACTCAATTGAGGTATATTTCTATCCACAATTAGAATATGTCTAACCTTTAAGTGCACGGTTTATAACTCAACGTTAATTGCTCAAATAAACCCAACGACATAATCATACGTTGTACACCGTAGTCATACACATTAAAATATAAAGGAAAGATCATAATAATTTGGTTGAGAACATACATCAAACACCTAGAGTGCGTAAAGTTTCATCCCTAACCTTGGCTATAGAAAATTAGCTAGAACAATTCATAATAAAATTACAAATATTGAAATGATAAAATACAATGAAATACATAAGAAAATGATACCACAACTCCAAAGCTATGGTGGATAAAGCTTTCCCCAAGTGTAGAACTTCTCCCAAGACCAAGGGGTTGCTCTTGGGATGCCAAAGTAGAAGTAAAGTGTGTAGAATATGGAATAATCTCTTGAGAGGGCTTCAATCCTCTTAAATATTGAGTTCTCAACGGTCATTTTCGGACAAGGAAGCAAGCTCCTTAATGGGATTTGGTGTTTTTCCCGAATGATTGTGATGACCGTTGCTTGTTTTAATCAGCTCCAGGCAAAAGGCGGGCGACTTTCGCAAAAGCCGGGCGGCTTTTGCGAGTTTAAAACAGGCTTCTCCGCTCCAGGGACCGAAAGCCGGGCGGCTTTCGCCAAAAGCCGGGCGACTTTTGGTTCGATTAGCTGAATAATTTCCACGGCGCCCGAAGCCGGTCGCCTTTCATGAAAGCCGGACGGCTTTCGTCTGTTTTGCTCCGGGTGCTTTTCCTTCATCTTCGGACGGCAATTGGATGGCTGGTTGGTGAAAACCGGCCGGTTTTGGTGAAAGCCGGGCGGCTTTCACCCCTTTGGTGTATTTTCCTTTTTTTCTTTTGTTCTCCGGATGCGTTTGGTAGACCTTTACTTGTCGGGATTCTTCGTGTGTCTTTTCATCCTCGTATTTGATCCAATTGTCGGTTATAGTATTTCTTGCAAAACGAGACATATGTGTGAGAGTTTTATTCTTTTAAGTATAAAAGCGTTTATAAATTGTTGTATAAAATACGTTAATAAAACGCTTATCAAGTTCGTATCCAGAGGGAAAGGAATATTTGCTTATCGAGTATATGTCTCCTAGATTCTAGAGAGAAGTGAGAGCTAGAGAGAGAAGTAGTATATTTGCTTTGTATTAGTGAATTCTGAACCCTTACAACTACTCCCAAGGGGAGTATTTATAGAGAAAATTAGGGTTGGGCTCCCAAGTCTTGGGCTTGGGAGGCCCATTTACAATAGGGCCACTAATGAGCCGGATACAAAGTGTATAGAAATGATAAGTATAAAATCCCGTTCTAGAGGCTATCTATGGATGACGAGGGCATGGCCGATGAGGGCATGGCCGATGAGGGCATGGCCGACGAGGTCACCCGGTTCTCCTGACTTCTGGATCATATTCTGGGTGGCCTTCTTTCTGGCCGATGAGGGCATGGCCGATGAGAGCATGGCCGATGAGGGCACCCGGTTCTCCGGGCTTCTGGATCATATTCTGAGTAGACCTTTTCCTGGCCGATGAGGGCATGGCCGATGAGAGCATGGCCGATGAGGGCACCCGGTTCTCCGGGCTTCTGGATCATATTCTGAGTAGACCTTTTCCTGGCCGATGAGGGCATGGCCGATGAGGTCACCCGGTGATCGTGGTACCTTCTGTTCTTCTGAGTATGTGGGTCCTAGGGCCTAGACCCATATACTCCATCAGGAGTCCCCCACTCTCTAAGCTGAGACATTG